AGAGAGAGAGAGAGAGAGAGAGAGAGAGAGAGAGAGAGAGAGAGAGAGAGAGAGAGAGAGAGAGAGAGAGAGAGAGGAATCCCGACACATGGCAGTTCTCAGCACACTGCTGTTGCCACGTGGCACTTCACCTACTAAAGAAAACCAATGAAATAGGGAGGAGTAGGAGAAAGGAGGAGGAGAGAAGAAGACGAAGGGAGGAGGCGGAGGAGGGGGAGGAGGAGGAGGAGGAGGAGAGAAGAAGACGGAAGGAGGAGGACGACGAGGAGAAGAGAAGAGGACGAAAGGAGGAGGAGGAGGAGGAGGGCGAGGAGGAGAGAAGAAGAAAGGAGGATGAGGAGAAGAAGAAGAAAAGGAGGAAAGGAGGAGGGGAGGAGAAGAAGACGAAAGGAGGAGGAGGAGGAGGAGAGGAAGAAGAAGAAGAAAAGGAAGGAAGGAGGTGGACGCCGATTCACCACGATGGCGACAGCAGCTTGACGGGCGGCGAAGATGGGGAGGGCTGCTCGACGGGGAGCGACGATGGCAGCTCGTCGAAGACGGGCGGGCTTCGAGACGGTGAGCAGCGGCGACGACGGCCGGGCTTCGAGACGGCAGCAACATTGGGTGGGCTTCGTGACGGTAGCGAAGTGGGCACTTGGCTTGCTGGGGGCCTTAGCCCAGATCATGTGATGTCTGATAGGGCCCCTTGAGGGCTCGTTCCTCACATAGCCATCAGACTTTTTTTTTGGACGGCTGCAGAGCTATGTTTCAGATTTTGACATTATGCGAGTAATGACGGTTGCATGTATATGTATGCGAGTATGGACGGTTGCAAAGCTATGTTGCACATTTTGAGAGTTTGCAAGCTTGTGTACATAACAAGTATGTTACTATGTGTTGATGTAATGTTGTTGTTTTTTGGTGTTCTTTTGGGTGCAGAGTCTGCAGACTACTATGTTTCAGATTTTGACACTGTGCGATTAATGATGGTTGTATGTATATATATGTATATGCGAGTAATGACGGTTGCAGAGCTATGCTCCAGATTTCTGGCAGTTCGCAAGCGTGTGTAAATAACAAGTATGGTTCTATGTCTTCGTTGTTCTTTTTTGGTGTTTTTTTGGGTGCAGACTTGCTGCCCTCCTATCATGCCGCCCTTGAGTGCCATTCTTGGAGATGCGGGTCCACAACTCTTTGCAGGTACTGAATAGGAGCGATCTCATTCTCGAGGAAATATCTCTAACACTACCATCTTTCATCACTCGCTTCAATTTGTTTCCAAGGTTTCTTGTATGCCACGTCCTGCTTTTCGGTTTCTGCCCAGATTTCCTGATGCCCAGGACCGGAGCTTGACCTAATAACTTAGCATGGATTTGGACTTCTTCTGCAGTTTGACTTGGCTTTTCGAGTTCTATGCAGGCCCAAGGCATTCAAACGGTGAGCTGCAAAGTTAAAGGAAAGAAGCGTAGGGGAGAAGGAAGGTTTCGTCCAATTTTTTTGCGGGGTTCGCAAATCTCTTGTGCCCGCCCACATGCTTTTTCCTAATGTCAAGAAAATCCTCAGCGCAAAGCCGCAAAGGGTGAACTTGAATTTTTATTTCATTAATCAGGAACATGGGGAGAACAAGGGAAAAAGGGGAGGGGGGATGCAGGGAACATGTTGTCATCAACAATTTTTGGGTGCACAGCGATTGGTTGCCTGCGCATCAGATCACAAAACATGCACAGTAGTGCAGCACCCCTTGCGTCCACTTCATGACATGCGTCAGTGACGAGTGGTAGTGGCTGTTGTTGTTGCCTCGTTTTGTGGCTTCAGGGAGTTGGAGCGATCGTGAGCAAGCCCTGACAAGTTGCTATAATCGTGTCCAAGAATTGATGAATTCGGCATTTGGCAAAGACAACCACTCAACTCTTGCAGATCTTTTCTCAAGCTTTTTTGCTCAGGTCCGCAATAGAACGGTTTGCCTGTCCCTTTTGCTGTGTCTCTCTGAGGCCTGTTAGAGAGTTATTTCTGCATGTATGAAGGGGTGTGAGCATGCTGCCAGCTGTGTATGGTTATGTATATAGATAACGAAGAGCATTTTCATTGTTTCAATTTCTGTTCTTTTTTTTTAATGTCTTTCCTGCCCCCCCTTGCGCAGGGGCCATCGGTAATCTTCTCTGTGTCTCCCCAATTTTAACGGATGTCCCCAAGGACCAATTTCAGTCGTTTGATTGGTCTAAACTTGCAGTTTTCTCTGGCCTTTTGTGGCCTGCATTGAATTGGGCGGGTCTTGGACTTAGAGATCTATAAGCCCCTCTTAAAGGACCAGTACATGCCAGCCATCCGCCGCAGGCCCGTTTTGGAGGCCTCCCGCCACCAATGTATTTTATCAACGGTGTGCGAGCCTCTGAAATTTTAGGAGAGGCTCAGTTGGATTCTCAGCTTGGCTGGGGGGCATTTACTGGTGGTTTAAGACTGTACTGAATATACTTATGAGCCTTATAAGTGCTCTTAATGCCGGACCTCCATGGTGTTCGATGTTTGTGCAGAGTTAGCAGCGACTAAACCAGTTTATGACCAGCTTTGTCTGTTCTGCGCGTTTAAATAGAGCCACCGGGGCTGGACACATAAGTGCGAGGCTTATAGATATTTCAAAGGTACGTAGTCTGAGAATTAATTTAAGTTATTATAAAAAGGCTAAATTGCAACAAGGTGGACAACAGGCCGTCATTCCAAATCCAAGAATGCAAGGATGCGTTGAATTTGTGTACGAAACGTGCAATCTTACTCGACGCCTTGGCTACGGACTACGATACCCTAGAGTAGTCTCCATGTTCCACTTCGCAGCATGTAGATACATTGCGTGCTTCTGATCACTCTCTTGTCCATGCATATGTCTGATCACTCTCTTGTCCATGCATATGTCTGATCACTCTCTTGTACTTGCGTACGTTGTGAAATTTGGCGTGCGCAGTTCTCTGCAGTGGAGGACCTTTGGAAGAGTGGGCTGTGTGCGAGCACATACTTGGGGACTTGGGGCGACAGGACTTCCTTGGGCTCCTCATGGTCAGGAAAGCAGTATGTGATGCAGGTAAGTATGACCGTAGAAGGATGTCACATTGGCTGAAACTATCACAATTTCCATCCATATGGTTCTATTATATACACTCGTGAAGAGTGAGTGACATAGCTTTGCTTTGGTTCAGACTTGCCTCCGCAAGCGGCATGGATTGATTGGCTTTGTGTGTCCTACATAGCGTCGTGCGAGTACAAAAAGTGCCAGGCCAGTTGGCAAAGGACGTGGACGTAAAATCAACCATTGCATGCAACTATAAGTAGGGGTGAAAGTAATAGAAAACATTGGAGAAAGAGGTGGAGAAAAAGAACAGGCCATGAGAAAACCCGTCTAAAAATTCTGAAGGTGAAAAACTGAAAACAGGTACTGGATTGGAAGAGTCTCTCCTGCATATCAACTGTCCTTGTCAACAACCTCTATAACTCTGGCAGCAAGAGACTTGGGGTTTGCCATGTTACCTGTGGTGATGTGGGGACCACCAGTACACATCAGACATCGAACGACCTTCAACTCCTGGACGAGTTTGGGGGTGGCAATTTAACAGATTGCTATCGGTCATTTCATAAACTGGCATTTCGATTCCGCACCGCAGTCTCCATGAAGTGAAACTCTCGCTATGAGTATTTGATCCCCGCACCGCCTCTGCTCCGTTTCCGGCCTCGCTCGATCAAAAAGCAAAAAGGCTCTTTCCAATCAGGATGACATTTCTGGCACTTCTGAGTTGGCTTGTGGGTCTGTAGACGCTGCACTTGCAAATTGGCTTGCACGGAGACATGATCATGTGAGTTCTGTGCTTCTTCGTTCTTCACAAATCTGGCCTTTCCTGTGGTTGAAACATCAGCCACCAGCTCTGCCTTTCCTGTATTTAGGTGTGTCACCGACCAGGCTTGGTTGTCCTATTCTGTGTTCCTCTTTTGGTGAAGTCATACCTTCAACACAAACCTTATAAGCGGTTCCCGAGTTGCCTTGATCGCCATCTCGACAAGCGACATCTCTGCCTGCCGAGGTGTGAAACTGATTTAACAAATCACTGTGGCGAAATGAATCTGAAGCAGCGCATGCTCGCACCAGGACTTTGCTGGGTTGGGGATATGGAATCAGAACTGCGGTTGATGGGATCAAAGAAGTACCAATGGGAATGTCTGCGTCAGTGCTGACGGATCGCAAAGCTGTTCTGAATATTTGCTGCACCTGACTGCGGCTTTTTCTTTTAACCACCACTACACGCTCCAGGCAAATCGAGCACCTGTAAACGTATCTCTAGATTCTCTAGACTAAAAAAACTGCCAATGTGAAAGGAGACAGTGAGGAGTTGGGCTCGCGCGGAGGAAAGTAGGAGGGAACGCGAAGAGAGTGCAGACATTGTGCAAAAGGAGGGAGAGGGTCGCGCGGCGGAGGAAGGAAAGAGTTCGGGCCAATATCCGGAGGAGGGAAGGAGGAGGTTGAAGAATTATTGGAGAAGAAGAAGAAGAAGAGTCGAAGAAGAGGAAAGCACATCAGCTGATGTTGTATGTATGCCATGCGCTTTTCTTTGATTCTTCTTCTGTTCTTCTTCTGCGATTCTATGTCTTCTCCGATTCTTCTTCTCCTCCTCTGCCACGTCACACCAACTAAGTCCGCTACCCCTCCAACCTCCCTTCCCCCCAATGCGAGTGAGGAGTCCGAGCCCGTCCACGATTCAAGAGAGCGAGCTGCACACAAGTCAAGAGAACGAGTGAGCGAGCCTGCGTGCGTGAGAGAGAGAGGACTTCACGGTGGACTTAATGTGTGCGTGCTTGTGGGTGTGGGTGAGAGACAGAGAGAGCCTCCCTCCTTACGTCTGAACTGGGAAGTGCATTTGCTTTTTTTCCCCCGGGCGAGTTAAATGCAGCATTCTGTTTTCTGGATCTCCAAATGTGTCGCCGCCGCAAGAAAGAGAGAGTGAGAG